CCAGTTACAACGAAGTCCAAAAATGGGTGGATGAATGGATCGCCTCGAAAGACACCGCGTTCTACCGTCGTGGGATTGCCCTGTTACCGGAAAGATGGGAAAAAGTAGTAGAAAATGGAGGAAATTACTTTGATTAAGGTATTCATTCATCTTCCCTTCGAAACAAATCGATTTTCGAGACGAAAAAGCGATAGGAATTAAGTTTAACACCTAATACTTAATACTTTTATATATAATATTGAAAAAATTAATTTGTATAAAAAATTTCATAGCCTTATATAAGAAAATTTAAATAACAAGAAGAATAATTAAACAATAATTAATAAGTATCAAGAAGAATGATTTAAAAAACATGAATTTAAGAAAACTGAGTTATCAGTATGAAAATAAAACGAACTTTTAAAAACACTTTTTAAACAACTTATGTTTCTTTTCCGTTTAAAGCATTTAATATCCATATAATAATGATAAATAATGCACCCCGTTATTAATAAAGTATATGTTTATTGCATAAATTATTTAACGTTTGCAGTTTATGCACTACATTATTTGAGAATATATATGACGTACTGTATTATTGTTGAATACTAAACTATCGAAATGTTACTGCATTACTGAATATTGGACAAAATCCGTCGCTTTAAATGTCAATTTTCTTTTTTTATCATTGTATAGATTATTTAAATAAGATACTGTTATTAAATAGGAAAAACACATTCATTTTTTTTAAACAAGATCACAACTCATTATTAAATATAACGACATAGTTAGACATAATTTTGGTATTATTGCCCACTATGTCAGTTTTGGAGCCCATTTTGTCAGACGTTCATTTTTGCATAACTTACGAAAAATTTAATTATTGCAAAATTGTGAACAGTATTATAAAAATTGCTTATACTATCTGATAGAAGATACTTTTTATTTTGTATTTATGTTTTTGAAATTATATTTTTACCTTTTGTTTAAGAAATATTGTCTAAAAACAAAGTGGAATGTCGGTATCGGTGACTTTCCTCTAAATTTTCTTTTTTTTATCACATTGTATAGATTATTTAAATAAGATACCGTTTTTTATTAAATAGGAAAATTTTTTTTTTTAAACAAAATCACAATTCATTAAACATAACGACATAGTTAGACATAATTTTGAATATCTGTTTTGTGAAGCAATTGAACAAACAAAATCGTATTCACCTCTTAGTGTCATTGTGTCGTACGTAATAATACGGCGACTGCGGCAGGAATGGAAAAATAACCATGTGGCATAGCATCAGTACCAAGCTAATGATACTGAAATTCATCATTGACATATTGGGACCCATTATATTACCAAAGAATATGCCTACGGAAAATCCGTTCGTAATTAGACATACCAAGGCGCCGCGGATTGATGGTGCCGAAATTTCACCGATGTAAAGCGGAAAACTGCTGATTATCATTCCCATTGATGTACCTGATTAAGATGATGTAATTTTGTAATAGATGTAAAAATTACATAGATTCCGGATTTAGTTTATAGTTAGGTCTAGAAATGAGATCCTAAAATGGACGTTAAATTGAACGCAATTGTTTGAACATCAGAATATAAGACAATAGAAGGATTATTTGGAAAATTAGTGAATAAAATATTATAGCAATACGATTAAGTACTATGAAGAATATACTTGATGAATTGATTTATCTGATGCTAACAGATGTGATAAATAACTATGATCACTGTTACCTGAAAGTATTCTTGAAACGTACAACCATGTGGGGGAAGTTGCGAATATTATGCAAATCCAGCTGACGATCATCGGTAATCCTGTTGACAGGATAGACATCTTGCTGCCTATACATTCTAAAATGAGAGGTCCAAAGACGGCGCCTAAGAGGCGCCCGAGTGGTAATAGAGAAGCTATCCAAGACGCTTCTTCGTTCGTTACGCGAAACAGAGCATTTTCATCGGTCAGTTGCGCCAAGTAAGGCGAAGTCCAACCGTTTGCGAGACCAATATTGATGGTCAACAAGGTCACTAAAGCACAACGTTTTGTTATATGTCGTAAGAAATTGATACAAATTCAGTGATTTTGTAGAAAATTTATGAGATATATGGACATATATCAATCTTGTATTGTATGCAGGGCTGAGCATGTATTTGAAATACTTTTATTTAAAACACACTATTTGCAATACAAGCGTATTTTGTATTTTATATTTTATCGGATCACATAAAAGTATTACATATTTTGTATTTAAAATCGAAAGATTGAAAGCTTTTTGTATCTTGTAATTCAAATAATAAGGTTGATTATCAATGTTAGTATTTGAAATACAAAATAAAATACTTTCATAATTTTTGTTTTTAATACTGAAATATAAAATACAAAATACTTTTATATGTTCCCATGAAATACAAAATACAAAATACAAAATATTTTCATGTACTCTGAAAAAACACAAAATACAAAATATAATTGTCTTACCAATACTGTTTTTCAAATACAAGTATTTCAAATACATGCCTAGCACTGATTGTATGCAAATCTTAAGTTGCACTGAATTTCATGAATTAACTAACCTGTTAGAGTTGCGAACCACTGAGGCCATAATTGAAGTAAAGGTTCAAATATTTTTTTTGCCATTTTTATATTAAATCTACACCGTTACACGCGCATCTAATAAACATACAAATAAGGAAGATACATAATTATTTGGTCTATATATAATTGCAATTATTTTTATTTTTAAGTTTATATCAAATTATTTGTCAAATAACTTGCCAATTGGCTGTCAGAGAAATAAGACAGCGAACCAACACGTTCGTCGCAAGAAATAAGACTTTCAGAATACGGATTATTTGATGCTACAAATGCTTTGAAGCATTTTTTGATTGATCAATTAGTAAAATTCTTTTTTCCGATTGTTAATCATGTTTCGAAGCATTTATTATGCCAAGTGGACCTCACAATTACGCATGAATTTAAGAAATCACTAGACACATGCAATATTAAAAATAAATATCTGAAAGTTCGGAAATCTGTTTGCTTGCAGATGCACGTCTATGATATATCGAGGAAATTACGGTTATTTCCGGCTTGAATTGTCATTTGATCGGATTCACATACATTGGCATTCGTTTACTTCACATCGGTTACTGCGCGTACATTTTTCATTTATTTGGTGGCGAAAAATCATTTTTCGACAATGGGATACGTCCATTTCGCGACGAGAGTCAGTTGCGACGCCTGTCAATAATATAAGTTTGATTTGAGAATAAATAGTCATTGTGATGTACTACGATAAACGTGTATGAAATAAGATATTCGTACTTATATGGATTAAGTAAAAAAATCAATAAAAAGAAATTTTGAGTGGGACATATAATAAATTTATATTTTTTCCTAGAATATGTTCCGTATCGGCGCCGCTTTGGTTTTCTAATTCAAGCAAACACACATATTGTCTTTAACATTTAAAAATTATATCGACTGTTTCACTGTGCAAGATTTTCTCGACTTGCACATATAAATATATTGCATAACTGATCTTGTATGAATAGATCGTAATTATAAAAGATTTAAATGAATTAAATTTTTATTTTTCCCTCGCCGCGATGATATTGTATAGTATTATTGTATAAATATATTATTTTTTACTGTACATATCGCTTTACTTTTCCACCGCAAGCGTAGTCGTGAACAAATTTTTCTAAAATCTGATAATAAAAAACTCAATTTTAATTTTAGCGAAATGTAAAGCTTTGAAATGAAATACTCAAAAATGTCATGATGTCGAACAAAAAGAACACTCAGAAAAAATTGTGATACTTTTAATTGTTTGCAAAAAAATCTATCAAACTTCGTAACGGTACACTGATGCTGGTAATGGCATCGTTTAGAGACCAATCGTAAGTGCTAAGTACATAGCGTTACCAATATAATAGAAAAATTACTTTTTATTTTTACATAGCAGTAAATTGTTAAATGTAATCTTCGAGTATGCTTTTTTATCACAAAAATTGCTGTGCATGTTTGAACATTCAATATGGGTTCATTATTTGTAACTCTAAATCGTTAATTGCAGCTGTCGTTATCAAAATTATTTCCGTATGATTGCCATTCCTCGAGCGATCGTGCATCTTTGATTGCTCTCTCATGTAATACGTAACAAAGCAATTTCTGTTTTTTTTTAACAAACAACGAAGCAAAAAAAGATAACATTTTAATACGAAATATCGTTTGCTTGCTTCACTTACAGTAACGTGAACATTTAATGTATAGCCACTTATGTAAACTTCACTGAGAGAGATATGCCCTCTCGTTTTGCGTTAAAGAGAAAAGTTTATTTATGTTTTTAATAGCACGGAATTACGTTGCGTGATCTGAATTTTGACTGAATTTTATCAAATCTAAAGGATTTTTTTTATATATTTTTATTAATTCTCCTGAATTCCGTTTTTATATCATTCACCTCTTCAGGATAATCACAATTAACTTGAAATTGATAGAAGATTTGTTAACTGGGAGAAGAAGCAGATGATTGATCTCCGTTTAACCATTGAACAATCTCCATTCGTATATTTATTTTTGTCATACACCCAAAAAAAAATAATCTAATTGTAAAGTGAAATTTCTGGTAACCTCATATTCTAAGCAGAAACTTTTACAGAAAGAGTATTTCTCTTCCAATACACTGGACTATTCATCAAAAATGTATTGGAGATTATTCTAACAGTTTTCCTCTTGAATGAAGAGGAATATATTTACTGAAAGCAGAGTGCCCTCTTACGAGTAAATTATATTAGGAACAGCAAGATTTTTACTGCAGATACAAATCGAAAATACTCTAACTGTAAGAATATTGTGCTTATTTTCCTCTTGATTTCAGAAGATTCCTCTTGAGGCCGTATATAAGAATAAAATCCTCTAAGATTTAGCGGTTTCTGCTAATACAATTGAAATTATTTTTTTTGGGTGTACATACCGAAAAATTTTACTGGCAACAAACGTTATTTCACACACTTAGCCGATAAAATCGATAATAAATATATGTTGGGCGATTTATTGGAAGTGAAACTATTCACGTTGCCTGTTCACGTTGCGAATCTTAGAACGGCGATCTTCTGGGCATGTCGTTAGGATGAGCACGTCGAAATCGTGGAACCCGAGAGCTAACTTAAATGGAACAGAATAGGGTTACGTCACACGAAAGGGTCCGTCCTCTCTGGTCTCTTACGACTGGAGGATAATAGCTTTCGAAACGTTGTCTTGGAACTCTCGGTTCTTGCGCTGCGAAATATTTCGTCGCGTCGCTTCTCTTTATCTAACGGAGCAATAGAAGCGAATGAGAAGTACGCTCTGCTGTTTACATCGTATTATCTATATAGTTGAATTTATGACTCCTGACATTGCGACTTTCATCTACTTCATTCTTCTTCCTTCACGGCTACTTTGCCCGCCCCTGCTGCGTACAAGAAGCGGGTAATAGTTATCCGGTCACCCGGAGCTTTCGTGAAACGTCCATTATGCACACTATGTTATGTAATTGGAAACTGTATGGTAAGTCAAATCTTATTATATTGCACAAACATCGCTATCGCTTGTATTTGCAAGCTTGTCTAGTGAGATCATACTCATAGCTGTCGACTTATTTATCGCGTTTACTAATTCTTGGCATTGAAGTTGTTCACATGTTTGTGTTACAATTCAGAAATATATATAATATGCGTAACGCTCTTATTTTATTTATACATATTGCTCATTTAAACATATTGTGCATTCAGAGAAAAAGACATAGTGGCAGCTACATAAAGGAAATAATTGTTAATTTTGTTTTGAAGAAAACAATAAATTTTATATGTAGAATTAATGTATACATAGTTGAATGAACTATGTATATATATATATATATATATATATAGTTAAATAAACTGTTTTATAACTACAATAATTATAAAAATTATTTAATTATGTACATCAGTTTATTCAACTATATAGTAATTTATTCAGCTATGTATATACATTAATTCTACATATAAAACTTGTATCGTTGTCATCTTTGTAATTACCATTATTATGCCTTTGAGAGTCTTAGATGCGCATATCCTAGATGAATACATTCACTTACATTATTACAATTATAGAAATTTGACTAGTAGGTATCTATAATTTTTCAGTATATCAGCAATGAAAACATATTATCTCTCTTTAACCAATAGTTTAGTGATGTGTCCATTTCGAACTCTTCCTATTTTTCTCTGAATGTGTGTTTTGATAGAATTTAAATAATCTATCAACTGGAATTTATGTATTTGTATTTTTGTTTATGCACTTGCATGCCAAATAAATATTATAATTACACGAAATAATGTCAGATATCGCACAAATTCAAGGCAACATTTTTATTTCCTTTATCTGCTACTCCTTATGAGGTAGGGAGATATAGTGAACGTGTCTACAGTATATTTCCTGTGAGTACGAAAAGGCTGGAGGAACATTTTCTAGGTAGATGAAGCCGGTATATTGCTACAAGTAGCGCTAGTGAATTACATGGGACTTCCTGCGCAGAAGGAACTTACAAAGTGGAGACTCATGTCGTGTGCCAGCAAGCCGGTAGGAGTGAACGACTTTACAAGCCCTTAAATAGTTATTAAAAATATACGGGTTTCTTGGTTTTTATGGTGACTGAAATGGTTTAGTTTACACAATGCGGTGATTTCGTTTTGATACAACATTAATATTAATCAAAATAATCAAGTATAAGTTCCGACAATTTGATGAATATTGCTTCCATAGGTTCTACCATAAGCTTACGCAAATTAGCCGTGCAAACAAATGCACATGGCAATCTTATCTAACGTGATGTATTGATTTTCCTATCGCGTTTCAACTGAGAAAGGATTGTGCACAATCAGGCACGATCGGGCGCCGAAAATCTCGATTCTATCGCTCGACTGGAAGGTGCGCTCGATAATAAGCACACCTGACAAAATTCAATTATGCGATTCCCGTGGGCGAGTAACCCAATTTGCACGTCATCAAGCCGCACACGGGGAAACCGGTTCGAAGACTATCCCGATGGTATACAGGGGTATACCTATACCAAATATTGACGTTCCTGGATTGCACAGGACTGCCCTCGGGGACGCCAAATAACCCGCGCCGACCTCCAACTACGCGGCTACGATTCGTCTGAACGACGGGTGTAATTGCCTGTAATCTACCGCGACGCGGTCGTATTATAGAGATCATTTAAGGGACAGAACTGCCGTTCGGCACCGCCAGCATTATCGGTAAACGTTGTTCAAAAACAGTTTGCGAGTTTAGATTACGACCAGTTGTGTATACTATTCTATAGCATGAACTTGATGTATATAGAACACACAGAAAATGGAATACTAAATTTTATCATGTAATAAATTCTATGTCAATAGTATATATTTAACGCGACATTATGTACTTTACTTGATAACTGAGCTATAATTTATTTCAATCGTTATCTATTATTATCTGTTATCGTTTTTCTTTGTTGTTATTATTAATGTGTTGTGTATTGTGCGGCTTTTCTTTAGCTCCACAAAAAACTAATTAAAGATCATATATCTACTATTGTGATCGATAAATGTATGACATTGTACATTTATTAAATAGTCTCTTAGTATTATGTATTATCATTGATAATTAATTTGCAAATTTATTATATCTTGTATACATGTCAATGAGACATGTCTGTGATGTTGATGATCTCTATAATACTTAATATGTTAATCTCAACGATATTTACAAATTGTCATGATAAGATGTAGTATTTTATGTAACTCACATAATTATGTAACTTGCGCGCTAGCTATAAAGTGTTTTCTATCGACGTACCGATTTCTTGGTATAACGCACTTTCTTGAATAGATCATTCTCTTTTTATTTTTGATGGTCTGTCTTATCATTAAGGAGATTCTCGAGGTCTCTTTGGTGCCATCATCAAACGATCGTGATCAAACAGACCACGGAAAGCGCAATTCCTCGCTTTCGCCTGATTCACATTCACTTCTATGATGCTAATGTAACACATATTAGCCGAGTACATTCCACTAATTAGTAAGATCTACTTTTTTTCCTTATATTTACCGTGAACGTATGTGATTTTAAATTTTAAATATGAAAGCCTTATTTTAAAAACAGAGAAGATTAGAATTGGAAGAATGTTAGTATGTTCAAATCTTTATATAATTTCCTTTTCTCTTGTTGCTTTATAAGTAATAGCCTAATTGAATGTAGTGGAATTAAGGGGGTATTCTAGTTTGTCGGGTCAAAAAAATTGATTCTTTTTATTGCATTTTCAGAAAGTTGATAGTTTTGAAAATATATTACCAAAGCTAGTAGCTGATTAGGCTGAGATAGCTATAGGTACAATTAATCTATTTGTAAATCGTAGTTGAAACTTTAAATGCATTTTTCTCAAAACAGCATTTGTCAACCGCTTTGACATAATATCTCGGAAACTAAGCGTCCAATCGACTTGAATTTTTGCGTGTCCATTTAATATATGTTCTTTTATTACTGGAACTACAGAATTTAAATTTGTGATGATTCCATTTTATTATATAAAAAAAAACGAAATAAATTTATAGGTGAAAATCAATACCATTTTTTAAAACATTACCGTTTCAACAATTTTCAATTTTTTTCTTATATTTTAGTTCCAGTAATAGTGTAACTTACATAATTTAATAATTTCTTTGGTTTTTTGGTTTCAGGCTACTAGAACTAACGGAATGATGTCAACGCGACAAAAAGAAATTTTTTCATACGTCTTGCTTATCACCGCGTAGAATTTTTTATACATGAAAAAATAATTTTTAAATATCTATTTTGTACAAACAAAGTTTCAAAAAGTTTCATATTAATATATTAATTCATTTCTTTTAAAAAAATTCCTGAATAATCATGTAATTTTTAACCTTACAAATTAGAATACCCCCTCAAAATATCTTACAATCTTTAATGACATTTTGGCAGTACATTACCAGCTCAAAAATGAACAATAAAGAATTATTAAAAAATTGGTCGAAATTTTACGAAATTTTAGTTATATATGCTGAAAAATCAACAACAAGAAAACAAAACTAATAATTTGACTTATAACGATTTATATAACTCAACGATCACACTTTATATTTTTAGGTAAATAAGTACGCGGGTCCAAATAAATTTTTCGAATATTTATTGGAGTTTTATTAGTATGTATGAAAAATTTGATTTAATTTGTAATACTTTTTTATAAAATATTCAAGTAAATACTACGAAACGCGATTTTACATATGAATCAGTGCAAACAAATATAACTTTTAAACCAATAAGAGAATGTTAAAAGGAGGGTGTTATGTTTTTTGGTTAACATGAAGAAGTTCCGTGTTGTATGAATTATATATCATGTTAAAGAGAATTATATATCATATTAAAGCTATTTAAATGAAATCGAGTGATATATCGTTTATTTGGGGAAAAATATTAAGAATATGGGAGAAATTTTAATCAAAGACAATAATTATTATATTTAGTGATAAAAAGTTACTACTTAATAAGACATCAAAACATCTTGAGAATTAAACAACAAAGACTTTGTATTGTTATTTAAACACGCATAAGACGGAGAAAATTTTTAAACGATTGACAAGCAACGAAGAGTCTGGAACAAAATAATTATTTGATATTGAATTCTAGCTTTGAGTAACGAACATATTTTTCAAGTTATACATACTGATAATATAGTTTTTGTTGTTTTAAATACCAATAATACAATTTTTATTGCTTAATTCCAGGAATATCTTAATATCCTACTTAACATCTTTTGGAATTATTGTCTTTGAAAACGATTTCTTCTAAACGATTTTCCCATAACACATCACTCGACTCCGCTTAAGTAGCTTTTTAATATGATATAAATACTATAATTCGTACATCTCAGAATTGCTTTGTGTTTGTCAAAACTTAATATCCGCCTTTTTTATTAAGACGTAATGGAACAATCTACGAAATTTTTGTATTTTTGTACTACTTTGAGATGTGACACCTACATCTTCAAAATTATTTTGAAGTTATCTAAAATGTATGAAAATATATTAAACAAACTCTTAACTTATTTAAAATTGTTAAAAGAAATTAGGAAGTCAGATCTGACGAATAATACCACTTTTAGAATTCATATGTAAAAGATGAGAATATGTTATAATTTTTACAAAATATTCTGGTATTGGATAGTATTATTAGTTACGCGATGTCGACATGATAAAAGCATTTGTTTTTCCTAAATTCATCCAATTAAACGAAACGATTGACGATCTTTGTTCTGGGACTCACGCGATGGCATCTACCAAATTTTTTCATACGTCAGCGAATCGTTTCTGATCCTCTTCGTGCAAACGAATTAAAGACGTACTTGGCTTTTAAAAGTTCCAGGGATTTACGGACATATTCTCTTCCGCTGTATTAACTACGACACTGCTCGAATCTCTTTCTAGTAAATCCTGGCTGGTCTATTCGAATTTGACTGAACGTATTACATGCATTTTCCCATTCCAATCGCTATTCGGTTGAGCGCAACGATGAGTAATAAGGCGTAAAAAGCTATTAGATTGACTGACGAGTTCTTCCGTTCCGTTCTACGTCGGCTCTATCCGTTCTTTTTTTCTCGAAGAATCTTCGAAAGTTGAAAAGCCTTCGACTCGGCCGTTGAGAGAGACGGGAGCTCGACGCTGAAAGACATTTTCACGTCTTCGCATTACGATATTTCTCCGCTATTTGAAGCGAGCGCTTTTAAATCTAAGTTGCATAGTTCCCTTATATAAGCTCGTCTGGGTATCATATATCTCCCGTAGAATGTTTTACACTTGCAGACGCGTTAGCAATTTATCGCGTCTCGTGACTCTTACAATGATGAATGAATTAGTACGAACAAATTTCAATGCAGCCATTCCTCAAATTTCTCAAATTAGAAATATGTCTTTTCACTGGTAGTTCTTTAATTTTGACGCCGTATGGCGCGACATCGGAAACCGATAGTAACATGATTTATTTATCTTTCAAAAATACAACGGATAAAAAAAGGAAAAAAAAGGGGTAACGCTGGAAGATTCCGTACACGAGCAAAAGACGGTAACGGGTCAGCATTACCAGGGTAATAGACACCGGCACGGCGGCGGGAAGAGCGGCGGTTTCGCGAAGGTGACGGCGGAGGTGATGGTAGTAGGGCTGGTGGTGCTGGCGCTGGGTGGTTGGGTGGATAGGTGGGTGACGGTAGGTCGACCGCGCGGGGACTAGGGGATAGCCTCCGGGTTAGGGGCTGACGGGTCGTGGCGGGTGGAAAAGGGGCGACTCCGGCAGTCAGCGGGTTAGAGCCGCTCTGTGCGGGTGAACGCGAGTTGCGAGCGTGTACGCGCCCTTCTGCAAAATTTCTTTGAAAGAAGTTTCGAAGCTCGTTATCGGTAACGACGATCCGCCGACGATCACGTGAATGTGTTCGTGATTCAGTGTGTTCGCGTCGCTTGTCAATCCTACCGGCCGTCGTCGTCCCACGATCTCGTGCATGAACTCTCGCATTCCCTCCTCGGAATGACCTGCACGAAAGTCACCGCTCTGCAAACAAGCCTGCAAATGAAAATTTGTATAAATTTCTCAAGAATCGTCAAGTGATTGTGTAATAAAACGAGTGCATTGTGTGTAATTGGAATTACAGAGTGATTACTGAAGTGATGGATAGAAGCTTTTAAAACCACGTCACCACGTGTCATTGAAGTGTCATCTGTGCGAGGAGAATTTGAGAGTCCCTCGATTTCTTCGAGGGCGCGCTTGTTATAATTTACGAAAAATATAATATGTCAACCGTCCGTAATTTCTTGAACGTTTGTGCTTATTAATTTTAATATTCTAATTCTAACTAATTTTAACTAAATAATAGAGAAGAAAAAATGCACTTGGTAATTACCACGTATTAAACATGTACCAACTGTCATGTGTCAGTTTTAAAAGGATAAAAAATACATATACATCGTGACAAGAAAATTAGCACATAATTTTTTTTCTGTAATTACATAAATTATATCATTATATATAACGTTATGTCACCGATCGTAATTATGCGAGCATGCAAAAATTGCAAAAAGAATTTCTTTTATTGATGGAAGAGCACATCTTACGTGTGATTCGACAATTCAAATGTCTAACGATAAAATAACAAAGTAATTCTTCCTTTTGCATGCACAATGCTCTGGAAAATGCTAGAAAATCTGCTGAATCTATGTATATGATGAATACGCGAATGAATTCTTCACATACTTCACGTTGTCGACGTAGAGTTTCCGTTTTGCTTTTTTGATTATCCATAGTACATTGTCGTTTACATTACACAATGTTTGACTTCAGACACGTACATTCAGTGTAACGATAATTTCGCTTATGGCTTCATTGCGTTTGACGCATAATTTCACACGCGCGTGCGAAACATGATATAGTTTCACAGAGCAAAATTATACCTCTAACAACGAAGATTCCATAAGTCGTTGTTTTATTAATAGTGGATTTTTTTTACAGTTTTCCTTTATGTGTACGTCTGCGTTTTTCATTACGATAAATAGCAATTTCCCCGGCAACTCGAGATTCTTCTTAACTCGAAGATACGCGAACAAGATAACGGAGAACCCTCGTAGCGTCAAGTTTCCTCTCTCGAAAACTGTAAGAAAAACTCGCATACTGAATTTTTTTCTCTTTTGTAATAATACATTTGGGTATATAATACGAAGTTTTAACGGGCGTGTTATTTTATACATTTTCTCTTACTGAAGATAATACTTTATGAATATTTATGAATATTTATTTTATTCGCGCCGAAAAATGATGATTTTGATACATTATATCGAATTTTTCATTTAAAAAACGATGCAGCAACGTTTGATTATATTCGTAATTATTCATGTAATTATTGATTAATTGACGTTTTCAACAATGAACTCAATTTCTCTCTGAAAATTTCATATGTTCTCAGGGAAATGGTTTTCGTTACCTCAAAATTCTGAGCGAACTCATCTAGTAATTGATATTGCGAGATGATGTTAACAAGCCGTAGAAAGGTACATTTAGCGTAATCGTCATTCTCGAACTGTTGTAGACCGACGGAGATGCAAATTCCGGTTGGTCTCTCGGTTAGTGCAACAGCCGATAATTTCATTCGCAAGCTCATTATGGAAATGGGAACTGTTTCCATAGAAATTACATAATTAGAACGTGTCGACGGTTCGTCGACGACGTTGAACACAGTCGAAATTGCGAACCGAACGCTCGAATGATGTATAATGCATCGACAATTCGTGATAAACAGCTAAAAATATCGTTGCATAACGTACTAACCGTCTATCGTAAATAAAAACACAATCCCGCTGCCATAATTACTCGTTATGCAAAATATTACGCAGCGCCAAGAAACGGTAATCGTTTCTTCCTTAAATGTCCACAAGAATAATGCCAATCTCACGTGACTCGTTAACCGAAAACATTTAACGTTATTGCGTCGTGAAGAGAGATAGGACGTGATCAATTTTGCGAGGAATATATATTGGGTATATCCTACGGGAATCGTAAGTAATCGCTTGAGATGACAAACATCGGTAAATAATCGAGAAAGTTAAATAAACCGGGACGGTTTTTCCAAAGCGCTGAAGTATTGATTTTTGTGTACGTTAGTACAATACAACTTAAGATTAACAATAATTCAATTACATCGGCATAATGCAGCATGAAGTTGATTCAGTGAAATTAATCTAGTGTTTCCTGTGTTTGTTTCGAGGTAGTCAAGTTTCGCGGTAACCACCGAATGTCCCTTAAACGCAAACGTGTAATGTCAACGAGTTGTAGAAAGAAAGAGTTGCCACCGTGTGCGGCATGGCAGAGAGATTAACCTGTTGACAGGTGTGTAGCTCCTGAAAATTGATTGCGTGCGTCCAATGCAGACGTTCGCGACCGCGCGCATCACGTGCGACGCTCAACGTGTGTGCACTTGACTGCAAGCGTTTTCGGCTCGCAGTTGCATAATAATCGGTCTTTCAGCGTCATCGACAAACAGTCTCTTTCGCTGTGCGCGATCGTTTGATGAAATATACAAACGGTAAACAATTCAAGACATTTTAATCCTTACCATACCATCTACAATTTGGTGCCTCATCCATACCATCAAGGGTCACTTCAAATCCCTTCGTTTTTTCACCTCTTCAAAATAATAAAAAAAATCTCTAAAAATTCACCAACATATTTTCAACTTTCTAGAATAAATATTGACTCTTTATTTTGGAAAATAAATAAAATGTGTAGTATAATTTATATAATTACCGAAAGACTCAAAGAAACTTGCACGAACAGGAATCGCTCGGTCACTAGTTACCCATATTAGTACGGTAAGGGTTAATTTGTCTTTTTTAATTTTTTTAGTTGAATTTATTTTTAATTTATTAAAATCGGTTCTATCTGGAAAAATGATTGGAAAAGTAGATGGGCAAATAGATTTGTCCGGCGAATCATGAAAATTCGCGCAACTGCTTCCATTGATATGTGTAACAAATTTAGATGTATGGAGGATACTTTTTTGCGGATAATTTGAACGGGAATCGCTGAATAGCATTTGGCGTAAATGTTTCGGCGTGGATTCGGAGTTTCGAACATACCTAACATCCCATGCGGATTTCATCGGATTTTTTCATCGGTAGATTTTTGCATCTGTTGCATATCACGAAATTTCGTTACGTGTGTACCGTCGTTGTTTCCCCTGAAAACAAAATAATTCGCCCGATCCGTCGCGTAACTGGGAACCAATTTATCATCTAATATAAAACACGAAATATAACCAGAATAAAATAAAACTATAAATTAGCGTACTTTTTTAAAACTGCAGGCATTTAAAATCTACGTTACATTACATTTTATTCAACGGTGATAATCTGAGATGTACATTTACGGAAAGGCAATTCGAACATTTTATAAAGTGTCAAAGTTTATAAACATTAAGAGACCGCATCGAGTTAATGACAAGGCCGTGTACCAAAATTTAAAATTTCTCGTTGAAAGAATTGATCCGATGAAAAACTCGTGAAAGGTTCACGAGTACGTGCGTTTATTCTCTTTCTACGTGCTGCTAATTTTTTGCTATTGAAGACGTTGAAAACTTTTCCCGATCAATCGGATGTCGTCGCGTAAAATGTGCCCGCCTATCCAAAGTGACAAGTGAAGTTTCTCACCAGTTGAATCAATGGAGAATATTCGAGGAATATAGTATTGTCACACAATCAGCTGGAGGATCAACTGTTAATTAGCAGACATGTACACCCACCTACACGGGGATAACGGCATGTGCTGTTATCTTCCCACTGTTCTGTACCTCGAACGATACCGTAAGTATCTTTGCTAAGTCGACGAGCGAGAAATGATATGACGCAATACCAAGAGACTTTGTTATTAGGCAGGTATTAGAATTACCATTGTAATAATTTTCCTTTGCGCGAGTTTCTTCGAGTCATTTCTTTAAGTATCGATCATATCGTGGTTTTTTTATATTGTAAAAGCGCTTTGTTGTAGCAATCGTGGCAAAGAAACGTTTTAACAATTACGTAAGTTTCGGTCGGATAAAGTTTCGAATTTTCATGGAAGGCCACTGTAATTATTTCTACGGCTTCAAATGTCGGCCCTACTCGTTTGTCGCTGATACGAAGCTTGTGGACGACGGAAGTAGGATAATTAATTCAGGAAGTCAACTCGATGCTCGCGAGGAGTTTGGTAGAAGTTATGTTTAGACGAAACATATATTTCCGCGTATTTTCAGGTATCAGCGAGCTTAGCATAATGTTAAAGACAATCACCGCGAAACGGGCGGAAGGAAACGAGTGTAATGGAAGGCTGAACTCACTCAGAATAAAAAAAAAAAAGAAAAAGAAAATAACGAAAGATTTTGCATAATAAAGCGGTTAGATGAGGCGCTGGGCTGCGCTTGGTTGAGGGTTGTATATGTAAATGCCGTAGAGAGCTTGTCGAATAAACAAAGGATAAAGCGCATCCGCTTGTATCTCCCGGTGAAACTCGCTTTTTGTCTGCTGCGTTTCGAAGAAAGTCTTTATCGATCGGCACGTTACATCAACGCAACATAACATTATTATGAAATCGTACTTGTCCAGTTGCTCCTGAAATCGTAGTTTTAATGTTTATGTTAATCTGTTTGTGAAGTTGGTACGACGTTTTATCAATTCGAAAAAACAACGAGTTCAATAGCACTTTACAATTCTACAGCTTTTAACAAAAAATTTAAAAAATTTTACATTTTTAATGTCAAAATAAAAAATATAAAATAGGCTAACTTCACATTCCAGCTCGACATGTTTCTTTCTAAAATATCAGAAAGTTAATATTACGTTTGTTAAGAGATTCAGTTAGTTTTAAACTATAAATATATATAGCGTTTCACAACAAAATTCTAATATAATTTTTTCCTTTGATTGGAATATTCGTCACTCGGAAGAAATGTGTCGTACTGATAATTTTTGATACTTTTGGCACTAGTTCCGTTCGAGGCTTGCTTCACTCGCGTTCCATGAGATGCAATTATTTCAAAAAGT